AACGTGTTAAGCATAACATGTGATATTCTAGTGCTACTTTTCGCGAAACTATCACTCCATTAAAAATCCTGTATTTACTGTTTGTTCTACTTTTGAGTGAAGTTAAAAGTGTAGATAAAGTAGGTTAGGGTAGTTTCATCACTTTAATTACTGATAATATGAGTTTAACACGGCCTGGTGGTCAGCATGCTGGACTCTGAATCTGACGTTCCACAGTTCATGTCACATAATAATACTCGGCGTTTTGAGGCCATGGATGTATTATAAACGTGACTGTCAAATCCCAATATTTGATTAGAGTAGCCCAAGAGTTGTTAATGGGTGCTGTTTATTAATTGCCTTCCCTCTAGTCTGGCAGTTCAAAATTGGGGACAACTAGTGCAGACATCCCCTTCTGGAGCCTTACTTGAATATTTTAAACAAACACACAATACTGTGACCTCATCAGTACAGTACGAGTTAACATCTTGTAAGCTAGTAGGGAGTAACGTTTACAACAAACACTACAGCGATATACTGGTCATCAAATTAATATTTAACTACTGGTAGCTGGTGTTTTCATTTTAGAGAAACGTAATGACTTATCAATATAAAGATTGTAAGTACCAAAGAATAAGACCATTCTTGTTTACCGAGCTTGCTTATTTAAATAACGTTTTATTATCTGTTTTAGTTTGTTTTTTTTCACCAAAAAGCGATGTAACGTGACTTAAAAACATCTCGCGTAATACAAATGTGTCTATCTTAAAAGTATGTATAAACAATATGTGAAAAAAGAAATCCTTCAAATGATTGATGTGACATGAAAATTAATTATAAAATTAATGTTTCACCAGTTGTAAATATGACTAGTGTTTCTGTTTTTGTCCTAAGTATGCCGGTAATGATTAAAAATACATAGACTGTACGTATACCCCATGTTATGAAAGAGAAATCCCATCAGTCTCCCAAGTGACCACCCTTAATGACTGATCTATGAAACCTATACAGTTTAAAAGAAAAATAACTTCTTGACACGTCCCAAATCATTCCTAGTTGATTAAACCATATTTGATAATAACAAATGTAAAAACCTAGGAGACATTAGAGGTCAAACAAACTTCTCTAAAGTATAGTAGCATGAAGACCCTTTTATTTACACACATTCTTGTAGGATACTACATTTGTTTTGAGAACATTTTAGATTCTATACTTATGCCTTCTTGAAATGATAAGTATTCGGAACACGGTTATTTTGACAGTTAAAGGCATCTTTTAAAGCCTAGTTTATATACTGAGGCCTTCTTCAAATGATAAGTATTCGGAACACGGTTATTTTGACAGTTTAAGGCATCTTTTAAAGCCCATCAACAGCAGCAGTGGAAAAGGAATCTATTTGGTACTATATAAATCTGGGCACCAGTAGTTAATGATTGACTGAAGGGAGAAAATGAGAGGTCAGGGTTTGACTGTCTCAAATCAAATCATTTAAAATAAACTAAACCCTGCTTGTATTGTTTAAACAGTACAACTTGCTGGTGATGGTGCAATAATGTTGGGAACCTTTTAATAACATTGTTTGGGTTCTTTTAGAATAACAAATAATATCCAGAGTGTACCTGAATGTTGTTGTCAGTCTTACAAAGTAACAGTAACAACCTGATGAACTCTTCCAAGATGATAATCCAGATCAACTGATTTAATGCTATATGTGATATCAGATAGGTCTTTAAATAACAGAAGACGGAGTAATATTGAATCGGTGTAAAACAAAAAAGTGTATGTACTTGCTATTGTTTATACAGGAAGATTGTCTTTACTGGATACTCTATATTAAAATGTTCAAGCTGAATTCGTTTATGAAACTATAATTGATAACATGGTACTCCATACCAGATTGATGAAATGTTGTGTTCTTTATCATGCAAGAAACATTGCATTTAACCAGGGCGACTAGCGCTACCTACGTGAACTGATTGTTCTCATTACAATATAAGTAGAGCCATAACCTATAGATATCACATGAAAAATGTTTTTAAAGTAACTGCTATTGACATCCTTACACAATTTGTCATATTCAGCAATTATTTCTCTGTATGCTAACACGTATTAGCCATTCCAAGAACAACAAAGGTAGCTAAGAACGAAATCAATTTAACGGCTCTTTCGAGTGTGTGTTACAAGAACAACCCACCACGATGGTATTGTTGCGTCATCGAGATCACGTGACTGGTGTGGCGCCACCTATTTTCTAGAACTAACCTGTACCTTGGCGACTGCTCTAGTATTTACTAGATATAGGGTAGTCTAGTATATAAAAGAGGGTGACAACGTGACGGAATGATAATGTGTGTGTGTAGACAGTGAGTAATTGACCTGCAGTCAGAAGTATTATTGAGCACGTTCGTTGTTATAGCGTTTGTTTAGCGCGATTGTTGAAGTTGAGTGTATCGGTAAAGTTATATTCGGAAAGAATAAACCAGTTTTATTAAGAAAGGACTTGTGTCGCTTAAGTTTCGTCGAAACGAAGTTAAGGAAAATCAATTAACAGACGGAGACGTAACAGTATTCTCTGAAACGTGTTTGAAGAGCATTACAGTAATTTTCATCTTTTTAGCTAATAGAATCACTGTATTTCAATCTAATGGCACAACATCAGTTTAAACTTGAATTTCAATATGTGTGAACTGTACTTCTCAACAAATGGGCTTATAATCACACATCTTGTGGAGTATAGGCTGTTACCTCGTGGAAGAAATAAAGTGTCCTATCGCAATATTAGGTTGTAGTCTGTGAAGGTTATCTAATAAATCAAGTTTGATAAATCTAAAACCTATTAATTAATTTTTGTTTGTGTTCAAATATATAGATTTAATAAAATATTTTATGGCTTGGTTCAAAGAACTTCTTATAACTGTAATGTGCTATAAGTTAAAACTTCTCAATATGGTGTCTAATCAAAAACACCGTAGGTGTGGAAAAAGGTGCGACCAAAAAAGGATTGAGTGTGTGTGACTTAAAGGAATGAAATCAAAACCGGTAGCTACACTAATATCATTGATAAGGATTTTACAACCAATATTCAATAATTTATGTCAACTGTTGACATAAAATACCCTTTAACAAATAAAATACAATACATAGTCAACTGTTGATATAAAATACCCTTTAACAAATACAATACAATACATAGTCAACTGTTGACATAAAATACCCTTTAACAAATAAAATACAATACACAGTCAACTGTTGACATAAAATACCCTTTAACAAAGAAAATACAATACATAGTCAACTGTTGACATAAAATACCTTTTAACAAAGGATTTCATATATATCTATATAAATAAACCCTTTGACGATGAAACTAATACAACCTTAGACAGAAAGTATCTACCGCCAATCAAGCTTCATTAACCCTACACAGCAAGTATCTACCGCCAATCAAACTTCATCAACCTTACACAGCAAGTATCTACCGCCAATCAAACTTCATCAACCTTACACAGCAAGTATCTACCGCCAATCAAACTTCATCAACCTTACACAGCAAGTATCTACCGCCAATCAAACTTCATCAACCTACACAGCAAGTATCTACCGCCAATCAAACTTCATCAACCTTACACAGCAAGTATCTA